TACATTGATGTGTAAAGACACGAAACGATCGGTCTGTGCAAGAAACTGAACAGTATTTATATCGTTTTTTACCTCTGATTTTCACCGCAATATCTGAACTGTCTTGAGCGCGTCCTCCTGAGCGCGTTCTCATTACCGCCACCTATCTCTCAAATGAACTATTGACACTCTATCTACAATCTCAATGGGGAGTGTCAATGGTCCATTTGAGAGATAGGTGGCGGTAATGCACTAATAAGTCTGCGATCTGCCGTAAAACAAGAAGAAGAAGAAGACCAGTCAGGCGCCGGCTGTTGAGAACGCGCTCAGGACAGTTCGGACATTGCGGTGAATCAGAGGTAAAAAAACGATATAAATACTGTTCACTTTCTTGCACAGACTGATTGTTTTGTGTCTTTACACATCAGTGTATCATCACGAGCCACAGGGTTTAATTTGGTTTTGTTTGTGTGTTTTTTTTTTTACTCCCAAAGCCGTGATTCCCATCCACTTACATTATAAGACTGATAGACTGCAACGGTTTGAGTTCAAAATCTTCGTTTGTGTTCTACTGAAGAAACAAAGTCACTTACATCTTGGATGCCCTGGGGGTAAGCAGATAAACATCAAATTTTCATTTTTGGGTGAACTATCCCTTTAAATCTGATCTATGCATAAATCAGCTCTTGGTAAACTCTTATAACGATTCTCTCTTCTGTTTCCCTATCAGTAAGAATCCTTAGCCTGGTACATTGGCGGGACTACGTACATCAGACTACCTCATCCAGTCATGACTGCTCTTACCACACCAAACTCTGAACAACCAGCCACCGAGAAACAGAGACATGATCCAGTCATATCCTCATAGCCTGAACTGGACAGATTGGGTTTGTAATATATAATGTACAGTTTCCTAAGCATAATATGCTGTGTGAATCCAGCGTTGGTGTCAGAAGGCGCATTTCTAGTGCAAATGCACTAATTAAGTCTGCTTAATTCTGTGAAGAGCCAATGGTTTGGCGGGACTCTGCTGTTTTATGATGCTGTGACGTTCTCTCTGAAGGCTCAGCACTGAGTTTGACTCTCGACTGTCTCTTTGCACTTTCTAAAAACCGCCTGGACCTGCTGAATGGGCAAACATCTGAATCAACAGTCCACTACTGGACATCAGATGTCCTGCTGTTTCTGTTCTACTGCCTGTGTTTGCGCTGTAGAAACTCCAAATCATCATGCAATAATCAGCATGAACTCTGTAGATCTGGTCCAGAAATATTTCTGCTATTATCTGATAGGGTCTCTTTTATATTATCTAAATGTGAATAAAAACAATGATAAAAAAACCAAAAAAAAAAAAAAAACAGATTTAGGGTGGGTGGGATATATATAATTTTTGCATTGATTATGCCAGCTTTGAGATTTTCATCCATGGAGATGTAGAACTTCTTAACCTTGAAGTCTATGTTTATATACATTTACATACATTTTATTGTCTTTTATCAGTCTGAATGTGACTGACCTAATATGGTGATGTTAAAGGAATAGTTCACCCAGATTTGTTGAAAATTTACTCATGAGTTTGTTTCTTCATCAGATTTGGAGAAATGTAGCATTGCATCAGTGTCTCAGCAATGGATGCTCTGCAGTGAATGGGTGCCGTCAGAATGAGAGTCCAAACAGCTGATAAAAACATCACAATAATCCACAAGTAATCCACACCACTCCAGTCCATCAGTTAACATCTGGAGAAGCAAAAAGCTGTGTTTGTAAGAAACTTTCTCCAGTGAAGAAGTCATCCCGTCTGAATCAATTGATAAATATGCAGAGGTCAAGCACTGTTTACAAGTTAAAACAGTCCAAAACAGCTCTAAACAAACGTGTTGGTGGATTTTGACGTGAGAGACGACAAGGGATGGACTTAGCGTTATTATGGATTATGGACTCATATTTGGCCAGAAGTGAGTTTACAGTTAAAATGTCTTGTCATGGATTTGTTTCTTACAAACACACAGCTTTTCACTTCACAAGATGTTAACTGATGCACCGGAGTGGTGTGGATTACTTGTGGATTATTGTGTTTAATTTTGTTGATTGAATGGTTCATTTCTAAAATATGTATATGTGGCAAAGCTGAAAAAAAAAAAACATTGTTGAGGCAGTGATCAACCCAAAACGTTAAGTGATGGACTGATGGAGTGGTGTGGATTACTTGTGGATTATTGTGATGTTTTTATCAGCTGTTTGGACTCTCATTCTGACGGCACCCATTCACTGCAGAGCATCCACTGGTGAGCAAGTGAGGGAATGCTACTTTCCCCCAAATCTGATGAAGAAAGAAAATCATCTACATCTTGGGTGGTCTGAGGATGAGTACATTTTCAGCAAATTTTCATTTTTGCATGACCTATTCCTTCAATATACGAATTGCACCAAAAATTAAAGCAAGAATCAGCCATAAAGTTCAAGACGGATGCAAAATGCACACTGCACTTTGGTGTGACGCTACAGTAGAGTCATTAATAAATTATTGATTGCCGATGTTTACAAAGGTCGGTCAATAAAAGTGCATTCGTTATCTTCATTGTAATATTAACAGAGTATGATCAGATTTTCCACAAAGGCCAACATTTATGCTTTCGGTAGTTTTAGTGTGGAAACATTATGTACAATATATGGTGAAATCACTGTTTATTTCATAATGAACTTATGAGATACCGACATGCATGATGTTAAAGAGGGATTCAGAATATGAACGAGCAGAAATAGATGTTATTTACAGTAAAGATGTTAATGATGTATAAAAAAAATTGGCTTTGTGCTTTCAGTTGGGTTTCTGTCTTGATGCATTACACCTTTCCATGAGTTTGAGGGTCATTGTCATTGAATATGACAACCTAAGATCCATTCACGGCTTATTAAAAACTGTGAAAAATCATATGAATGCCTTTATATGTGCAGTGAACAAGCAAATCAGCTACAGACACAAACACAGCCAATGTGTTTTAGATTGAGAGAAATGTGACTTCATGCTTCATTATACTGATCGCTTCGATGTGCAATGCAACACTTCCATGCTGTGCCTTCTCTATCTTATGATGATGATAATGTAGTATATTCTAAATCATATTTGTACATTAAAGTCAATAAATATAAAGATGACTGTGGGTTGAGTATTCATTTTAGACACTGCAGTATCATTTTATTGTGTGTCCATAAAAAAGACAAACATAAACAAAACTTTCTTTAAATTAATCTCACTCTGATTATGTATTTGCACTCAAAGCAATATATCACCAGTAGCAGAATTACTGTAGTAAGTATTCATATTCATAGTACAACAAGAAATATGACGACATTCAGTCTCCACTAACATATTCCATGAACTGCATCTCAGAAACACATTTTTATAGTAATCATGTAGAATTTAGCTTTGGCAAAAATGAAGGATTTCTCCTTATATCGGTTAAATATTGAGTCTTGGGTCGAATAGGAGACTTTAAACCAGGGCTGGGTAACTTCGGTCCTGCAGAGTTTAGCTCCAACCCTAATCAAACACACCTAAACAAGCTAATCAATGTCTTCGAGATCACTAGAAAGCTACAGGTAGGTGAGTTTGATCAGGGTTGGTGCGAAGTTACCCCGCCCTGGTTTAAATAGATGTGGCGCCCTCTGCTGGCGTCATCTGCGTCATGCCAGGTTTGACAGGCTCCTGTTGTCAGTGTAGACACTTCCTGAAGTCAAAGTTCATTCAGTTCAGTTGGCTCCGGTCTTCGGAGCCTGTAGTTTTGCAGCTCTGGCTTCTTCATCTATTTCATCCATGACTCTTTCTTGGGATACGGAGTAGAATGTGTAGCCATCTGTGGAGGCTGGTGAAGGCAAATAGATATCTCAACAGTCTGACGAGAGATAAAGGGATAGTTCACCCAGAAATTAAAGTTCTATCACACAAAAGACATTTTGAAGAATGTTGCTGGTAGCCATTGACTTCCATAGTATTTTTTTCCATACTATGGAAGTCAATGGCTACCAGCAACTGTTTGGTTACCAACATTCTTCAAAACATCTTTTGTGTTCACCAAAAAAAGAAAAAGAAAAAAAAGCAAGCCATACAGGTTTGGAACACCTTGCGGGTGAGTAAATAACAAAATTGTAATTGCTGGGTGAACTATCCCTTTAAATCTGGTAATACTTCATTTGTACATCCCCTTTATCTGGTCTTTACGTTCTCAAAATGCTTTTTCTGAAATAAGCTTTTTCTAATATTATTTTTAAAAGGAAATAAATTAGCTAAATATTGTTTAGTACCGTGAAACACGCTCAAAATGCAACATATTGAAGTAAAACTATTATGGGAAACAAATATAGTAGTCATTTTAATTAAAGAGGTTACAATTCTAGTGTTTGGTTTGTTTTGACCTGCTAACAGTACAAGTGTAACCTATTAGTTAACAGCACCAGTAAACATATTCAAGAGTTTGACTTGCTCATCGTGACTTCAGCACGGGTCACATTGGCTGATCATGTAATAATGCACCCACGTGTAGTAATACGCTATCTAAACTAATATTGCTATCATTCATCATAGCCGTGCAGAACATCATCACTAGCTCAGCAGGCTCTGTAATGTAATGTAACGCACTGTACTGCTGCCATAACCTTGTGTAACAGAGTTGTAAAGGATACAGATGCCGAGAACTACAGCGCCGATAGCGAGTCCTGTCGCAACGTTTCGTCCTCGGAGCTGGACTGCTTTCTTCTTCCACTGCGCCAGCTCCACTTGTCGGATGAACTGCAGCTGTTCCCTGGTCAGAACTTCCTTTGCAGGATCTATTCTCTTTGCAAACTGGGCTTCAGGTTTGGGCTCCCCTTGACTACTCTTGTCCGCCATGTTTGAAGCGCTGTTTTCCTGACGTAACACGGTTATTTTGCAAATCAATGCTGCGTCGATTTTGCGCAGTCCGTCTCTTTCTTTCTTTCTTTTTTTTTTTTTTTGCAAGGTCTGCGCAGCCCGTCACTTTACAAGTTGTTGAGGGGAATAATTTGATGCCAGTTTACATGTAGCTTTATTAATTATTTAGTTTATTTTACATCAACTAATTTTAAATAATTTTCATTTAAATAATTTTAATTAATCTTTGACTGTGAAGTGGTTGATGAACTTGCAGCATATGTAGATAAGGTCAGGTATAAATACAATAAAATGAATTACTTCAGTTATTGTAGTGATGTTATATTTCTTGTATTCTTGCATATTGTATTTGGGGTCTATGACCACAGCCCTAGAAGAAATGTATTCATTAAAAAAAAAAAAAGTGCCACTTTTAAACAAGCAATACGTTGATGGTGTTATCACGTGGTTCGAGTTACTTTTCTCAACGCCTCTCAAAATTGGCCAATCACAGTCGTCGTTGTAGTGCTTAATTAAGAAATTTCGAAAAAATAATTTATTTGGAATTCCTCTCGAATATATTTGCATGTCTGTTATAAAGTCTTAAAAATTATACATCAGCATATATAAAAAAAAAAATAAAAAAAAAACCGTGCTGATATTTGAACGAGCTTCATGAGGGGATTTGGCTTTCTGGAGGAAAACGAAAATTTCCAGCGCACGTTGTTGTGACGACGATTAATCTTTACTAACAAATGGCGGGAAGTACTATGTTTTCACTGCACACCAGGGAACCGATGAACCCGAGGTTTGGAGAGGTGTCTTTAGACATTTTAACCGATATTCTGTCCAACCTCAACAACAGAAACAAATCCAACTTGGAGAGCGTGTCAGATCTCTGTGGATGTCTGAAAGAAAGGAGGATAGTGGGTGAGTGTTGTTGGCTTTAAACTAACTGTTAGCTTATAATGTTAGCTAGTGTGATATGTCAGGGGTTTCGTATCGGATGGCAGTACCACAGTAATGTGAAGCATACTGTAATATGTTAGTGAATGATTTAAATATTTATAAACAATGTTCATAACATGACTTTGTGGTCCACGGATATATCGCCAAGCCAAGGCCGATATATCGCAGATGTATTCAAATAATCGGCCCGATAACTTTTCTTGTTTGACAGATTATTGTGGCAAGAGAGACTTTTATTTTGATGTAAATAATGATAGTAATATAAATAACAATATGTTTAATTGTTTTAGCAAACATAACTATTATGATAAGGGTCATTCCGTGCCAAATCAACCAAATTTCAGAAACTTTCCCGGCTCAAATTTTTGATTTTGTCAATATTTTTTTAAGCCAAAATATTAAATGTCAGATGTATATTTACTGAGTAATCCACTGTTTTGTCACCTGAGATTCGGCAACAAGCTACAATTAT